AGTTAAGTGTTTTGTTTTTTTGTCATTAGTTAATGTAAGTGCAATATAATGTAGTAACATCTGCGCAGACTGATAAGGTAGCACTGTGTCTAGGTATACCAATATGTACTTCTTTTAGGAGTTTAGTTATACCAATATGTACTTGGTACCAAAAAAGAAAAATATCAGTATCAGTAAGTTACCATATTCAATCTGTGGTCAAAGACTGAACAGAAATACTTAGTGGACTATTGAGTTTAAATAAACAGTAGTTAATGCTAGATGTCAGGTTATTCAGACATCAATATTTGTTTAGTATACGTAGAAGACACAGTTATAACACAGGCTCTAAACATGATGATTACTGTACTATATAAGTTATAAATGCTCAACAATATGGTATGCCCAATTTGAAAAGAAACAAAAAGCAAAATAAATGAAAGCATGAGATCAACAGGTAAAACAAAACTAGCGGAGACCACTGGAGCTTCACAAAGTAATCATCACAGTCCTCTGGGCTCTGCGCCACAAGATCACTGGTGAAGGTATGCAGGCAAGCCCACCTAATCTTCTGGACTCGGTTCACTCCCACCTATGACCGGAGTGTACTAGTAGCAGAGTCTCAGCATGTTGCCAAGTCCAGTGGCTGCCCTAGGAACTACATGACCCCACAACATGTGCCCTTAATTCCTGCTTCACTGGGGCAAGCAATGGACATCCTGGATTGGTGGTCCGCACATGCTTTGGTTTGTGGAATGCCGTCTTAGGGCTCAAGTCCCAAGAAGGGAGCCGTGGGAACATGCTTGATCACCGGGTACGTATGCTTGGGCAGGTGATATCCCTCTGCTGATAGCTGGTGTGACAATAGTCCAGGAATGGGAGTTGTTGTCATCAGACGCCAGTGCTATTAAAGCTGTCTGCAGACAGTCAGCACAGCCTTGCCCAGTGTAGGCCGTGATGCCACCTTTTTGTTGTCTAAACACAGGAATCCAAGTGCAGAGTAGGCTCAGTAGAGATTGTCTGTATGGCATTGGATTCCTCCAGTGGGGACCAGAATAACTGTCACAGAGCTGTTATGTGGCAACCAGGCATGTGAACATGGCACATGCCTGACTCCTCTCCCAAGTAGGTTTCAAGCACCAAAGTTTCGTATAGCCCTTAGGGACCTCAAAACTCACGATCTTGGAGTTCGCAACCACCTGCTTACTTCTTGGCTTAAATGTTAATAGTGAACCTGCAATATCAGCCAAAAAGGCCAAATTATGCAGGAGCCCCACCAACATGCAACCGGTCAACACGGTGGTCAGGACCCACTCCCTATAGTTAAATATTTTTAAGTCTGATTGCGTTATATTCTAATACACATAATTCTGTGTATATGTCAAGTAAGGGGAGACAATTTAGGTAGAAGAAAGAAGTGAAATATACATATGAATAATTGTTTTAGATAAAAAAAAATTTTTTTACAGTGACCAACCCTTACAAGACAGTGTAGGGAGTACTTCTATGTTTCTATGTTTCTAGGGAGTACTTCTAAGGCTATAACAAACAACCTTCAAACTTCCCAGACAGGCAGGGAAGAGGGAATTTACAAAGAAACTCCTTTCTACTTATTTTCATAAATTATTATGGGCAGGAATGCTTTAAAAAGAACAATGATAATTATAGTAAAGTTAAAGGGACACTATAGGCACCCAGCCCACGCCAGCTAATTGAAGTGGTCTCGATACAGTGTGTCTTTTACACTTAGTGCTGCAATGTAATTCCATAGAAACTGCATTGTTTACATTGCAGCACTAAGAAAGCCTCTAGTGGCTGTCTACCAGAAAGCCACTAGATGAATGTTAATATACTTATGCTCTGCATGAGAACACCCAGCATCGGCTATTTCCCCATAGGAAAAGATTGATTCGATGCCTTCCTTTGGGAAGGTCTAATGGGCGTGGCACTTGCTGCGCATGCACGTTAGCGGCGCTCATCGAGGGACGTTGCAGGAGGCAGAGCCGCGACCCAGTGCTGAGGACATCGGTGCTGGGATCAGGTAAGTAAATTAAGAGTTTTATCCCTTTATTCCCATTGCAGCGTTGCGCAAGGGGGGAAGCGGCAGAGAGAGCTATAGTGTTAGGAATACAGCTTTGTATTCCTGGCATTATAGTATCACTTTAAGCTATTATCTCTCAAGTTCACTTTTAAACCATGTTTACAATTCACAAATTACAATGATTATGATTTAAAGGAACACTTTAAGCACCATAACTACAACAACACACTGTAGTTGTTATGGTGTCAAGAATACCCTGGCATTCTTCCCATTGTTAGTAGATAAACAGTTTTAAAACGGTTCCTGAGGAAGTCTCTACTCACCTCCCCTACTTCAGACATTAAATGCTCTCTGTCTGAGCTATGCAGGCTTAGTTTATTGGCCGAGAGAAATCAGCTATGAGATTAGGAGCTTCTGGCTCTCAGATTGATGTAAGGGAGGAGGGGAGTAGCTCCCGGAGCACCCCAGATAAGAAGCACCAGATAAGGAGCACCATTCTAAAATGCCTTGACTACTTACAATGTGTGGATGCCAGGGCACTCCTGGCACCATAACATCTACAATTGAGGCACTTTATATGAAACCCACAACACAAAAATATGAAGAAAAAAAATTTGAGGCTTGATGCCATCTGAGGTGTCAAGTAGAGAAGATGAGCTCTACATGTATATATGTTTTGCTGTAATTGGGGGATTCCAAAGTAGAGTTATAATTCAAGTAAGAAATGAGTATCCCTTGTTTCATGGAAAATAATGAAATACTGTACATAGTAGAATTAGTGTCAATAAGGTGGTGGTCTAACTAAATGATTGTACTGCTTACTTAGTGTGGGTTAATTCATTACACGCTGATGGGTGTTCAACACCACTTGGACATGAACATTGAACATATCCTCCTCTTTTATATGTTCTCCTCAGGGCAACATGTGTATAACCACTGACACACTGGCGCTTTTGTCATTTGTGCCATTTAGATGCAGGCAACTTTGACCTCCCGGAAAAATAAGAAATACCCAAACACATAAACAAAGAAAGAAAAAATCTCATAGGGAAGTAATGTTAATTAACAATTAGCCCCTTATTTCAATGTTGCACCTCCCTCCCATCATTTCTCTGTTTCGGGAACTGTAAATCTTCCATGGCTGTAGACAAAAGGTCCTTTAGAACTTGATTAAAGGACATGGCAAGGGATGGCTGACTATTGCCACCTGTAGCTATGTTTTCAGTCTGGACAGAGTTCTTACATGAATAATGCAGTACTATTAATAGCTTCATTAGCCCTGGGGTTCTGGCTCATTTTAGTCGGTGGCTAAATGAGATTTTGCAATAAGAATCCTAAGATTTGGTGGCCTGAATGCTCACAATATAAGATTGTGTTTTCCAGGATTATTCTTGGAATCCTCACGATAGCAGGATTTTTTGGCCCTCTAGCTTCCAGTTTCCTTCCTTGGTATATGAAAATAATGTTAATTGGGCCAATTTCAGGGCCTGAATTATGTAGTATGATAATTCTATTTTTTTGTTTTCTTTGAAATATACGTTAGAGACTAGTGATTACTAGGCATCGTATTAACATACAGGTTTGCTGAAGAACAACCCTAACACAGCTTGTTTTATTTGGAAATTGAGGCCCAATATTTACAACTCCATTTTGGAAATCTCAACATATTCTCATAACTGATTTAAAATATTGAAATTGCTGATGATCCAGTTTTATGTATGGTTTAGTTTAATCAGGTTGAATTTTGTGGGCAGAGCAGTTAGATCTCTGCGTAACGCTTAATTTCATAGATTTAATTTCCTTCTGCCGCATGAATAATCCTTAGAGTGCTCGTGTGCCCCCTCTGGCGGCAAAGACACAAGTGTGTGATATGAGTAAGTTATCTCTAAAAAGGACAATCCAGAAATCCATTCTTTCACATATTAATACATTTCTCCAAACATTATTACTATTTATGCTTTGGGGATAGTGGATGCTGACGCTGCAGCAAAAAGACAGTGAGAGGGATCTAAGCTGAAAGAAACATCACACACAGCAAGTGCCTTTGTTCTAAAGGATGCTCGCACAGCGCTTTCCAAACAATCCCAATTGCACATGGCATAATCCCATAGGGGAGCTGTGGATTTCGGATACCACCCCCCAGACTGAAAGGAGCCAGAGAATTGTTAACAGTGACAAAATCCCAGCTCAAATGCAAAATGCCGGTGCAACAAAATCAGACGTGCAGGGTGCCAGATAAGGAGGGAGGGGTCCTTACCATCCTTTATTTACACCTCTACACCTCCATCTATTTAACTGTTTGTATATCAAAGTACTTTGTGCTTTCATGTCAAAGTAAAATCAATGTCACCTTTCCAACCAGATAAATTACTATTATTCTTCTCTTAATGGAAATATATTCTAATAGGCACTTTAACCTTTAGTTCGCTTTCACTTTATATACACTATATTATTCAAAATTATACGTCTCTCTTGTTTTGATTAAGATATCTGACTGGAATACAATTTTTCTTTTCCTTAGAATTAGTCTGCATATGTAAAATTTGTGTCATCATGGATCTAGTACATATATAACTTTATTATAGTACAGGCAGGGTACATAGAAGATCATATTAATTATGGTTATCTTTAACTCTTTTAATCTATTCCTTCTCAGTTCTACTGAAATCAATCACAACACATTAAGTTTCATTATCACGGTCACATCAAAGTAATTGGTTGTTTCTAGGGCAGGAATTAAATCAAATTATGAAAGAACACCTTAGCTTTTGACAACCCTACTGTGTGAATTGAGATTGTGGGTTTCAAATATGTTTCTGTTTGCTAGGCAGTAGTGCAGGGCTGGAAATTCAATTTCACATCTGACTAAAACTTGCTGTTGTGGCCTTATATCATGTGCTACCCAGGGGAGGGGACAGAATCCAAACAAAGAGTTAAACACCAGCTCTCAGGCACTCTACCCCTCCTCTCTGGGGTTGGTGTGAACCTGTATGGGGGGATTAAATATGTCACAGCCTCTGCCCCTTATAAATCCCCCCGCCACTCTATAAACAGGTTGGGGGGAAGTATCCAAAGCAGTTAGCAGTTTGGAGCAGTCACTCTGTCCGTGGCTTTTTTGAGTTGTTTTTTTAACGTTTCGTTTTTCTTTGTAGGTTTTAATCTTTGTTAACTTTTTGTTTGGTAGAAAATTCAAAGTATCATTTTAATTGAGACTTTTTAAATTTCACAGAGTCTCCAGTAACATTTTGGTGAACCTCCAATCTGCAGATTAAGCTGTGATCTGTCTTCTGCACTTTGTCCTCCTTGATTCACACATAACCCGCAATCATGTGGGAATTCCGCTCCTTCTCCTTCTGGAGAGCAGTGTTTGCAGAATTCTTTGCCACCATGTTCTACGTTTTTTTTGGTTTAGGTGCGTCTCTCAAGTGGGCAGCTGGTCCAACTAACGTCCTGCACATCGCGTTAGCCTTTGGTCTTGCTTTGGCCACTATGGTCCAGTCTGTTGGCCACATCAGTGGTGCCCACATTAACCCAGCTGTCACCTTTGCTTTCCTCATCGGCTCACAGATGTCTCTGTTCCGTGCCATTTTTTACATCGCAGCACAACTGCTGGGCGCAGTGGCCGGAGCTGCAGTACTGTATGGCGTCACCCCTGCAGCAATTCGAGGCAACATGGCTCTCAACACGGTAATTACTCATTGGGGTAGATTGATAAATTGATATCACTGTGTCTGTTTTTTTACTAATAGCCTATCTGCTACCCCTAGGGAGTTTAATCTGTTTGTAACAGTAGCTACCTGTATCAGTAAAGATTTACAGGCAGGTTGTCATAAATTTACCAGAACAAAAAAAATGCCAATTAATGGTAGGCTGGTAGGGTTTACAGAGAATTTAAATAGGATATGGGTCCCTCTAGGTTTAAGCAGTTGGTGATTAATTACATATAGCAACTTTCTTAAAATGTGAATATGTACTACATGCGTATGCTGTAAAAATAATTAGTCCTGCACCAACATTTTTTATTTTTACATCTGTCTATTCTGATCTTTAATTCCTCTCATTACCTATTGTTATGACAATGTTTAGCTGCACTATACCTTTAGGAATACCCTTGACTTTCAATGTATCTTCCAAACTCTTATTCTTCTGTAGTCTAATGGCACTCTCTATTAGACTATGTCAGCGCATTTTGAGTGAGTCCACTGAATGCCCATATTTTGCTATGTTCCACATTTTATGAACCGATGCATGTAAAATCTTTCATTTAAGTGCTTTTAATAATCAAAGCACCGAGACTTTGACACATATCTAGTTTTCCATTTCCCCACATGCTGAGTAAACAAAAGAAGACATTTGTATTTTTAAATATGCACTTTTATTTTTTAAATTACCGAGCGTTTGGAGACTCAAATATATTTTTAAAATTAAAGAACTAGTATATACGTTAGCGATTTTTACAGTGATTGGGGGTGGCAGTCAAATAAAACTCCAGATGTTGTAGATTACATCATCCATAATGCTGGCAATGCCAAAGATTGCCTACCTTTACATTAGACAATAAAACTGAAGTAAAAACAAATTAAAGCTATTATCTTACAGTTTGCTCTGTCTGGACAAAACATTGTATAAGATTAATTAAACTAGGTGTTAGTCTAGTAAACTGCACATTAATATCACATTTATTAGTTTTAATATGGAAAACATTGAAAACGTAAATTTAAGATTTAGAATTGTTTTAATAGATGGAATAATTATCACTACCAACTGGTGCACTGCATAATAATGACAGAAAATGCAGTTCAATAACAGTTGGAAAACAACAGGTTGTTCAAATTTGCGCTAAATAAGTTGTTACTATTGGTACATTGGCTATTTAATGCTCCATGGGTAGAACTTTGGGCATTCTGTATGTAGTGTCAGGTTATAGTGTTATGCTACTTCTAAACTGATCCAGCTTTTCCTAACACAAATTAAACCCAGATACTAGGTTGATAAATATCTAGTGAATTTTCCACAGGTTTCTTAAATTCAGCACACAAGTATAATAATAAAATACTTTTTATAGACAACGATAAAGAGGGATACAGCACACAAATTATATGCATGAAGTCTTAATCCACATTTATTTATCTTAGCTTCCAAATAATGAAAAAAATACTTTAGCCATGTTAATACATGATATTAATTTTATATGTTACTAACATGCTGGTTCCAGACCAGTGATGTGTTTGTATAGTTCTGTGTATCTTATAAACGTTTGAGTCATGAGGAAATGTGCGTGATGTTGAACCATCCCCAATTACCATTTCATTAAAAGCCTAATATTATTTAGAATAAAAGTATGCAAAAACAGAAAAAAAGAACACATTGTTCTCACATACTGAATACACTACTATCAATGCAAAGCAATGTTGCACCTGTTTATAACTGCCTTCTAAAGAGAAGGAAGAGCTCTGGTTGAACAACATTAATCTGCAATCTGCACTCATCTGCAATATTTAACATCCAAGCAGTCTTTGCTGCTTAAACAATCTGTATTACATTTGTAATCAAGAGATTCATATATGCAACAGGGGAGTGCTAAAAATGTGTTAGAGAGAAAAGTTGATGAAGCTTCTAAGGTACAAATGCTACTGCTAAAAATATAAACTTATGTTGCCTTCTCACTAAAATACTTGAGAAGCATCTAATGGAGCATGATTTTAATTCACAGCAAGATAGGGCATTATTTAAGTACGTCTTTATTTTCATTTTTTAAAAAATCTTAATATTTTAAGATTACTATTCTTTGCACCTTCATTTTAGATTTAGTTCACCGTGAGTGGCTGTAATACTCAGAGTCAGTGTAGTATTTGCTACACTGACCGAGTAAAAAACGTTGTCACATGATGTGGAAGCACAAAGAAAGCATTGAATACATTGCTTTCCTACAGTGCAGCTGGGATGCATGTGCGGTACTCACCATGCATGCGCATCAGGTCCTCCATGCTCTTCTATGCTATCATGGGTGGCGGTCCAAAGGCCGGTACCCCTGTATGCCTGATGATGAAGATAGGAGTCTCAGCATGGAAATGGACAAACAGGGTCTGGTGCAGGGTAACCACACACCTCCTGGTGTTGAGCACCAGGTTTTGTGCGGTCACATACCAGAGCCCTGATGCAGCTTAAGTGGAAGCCAGGAGCTAGATGATATATTTATCTAGTACTAGAAACAAGGTAAGACTAGAACAGGCACCAAACAAGATAACAAGACAAGATAAGAAGAACCCAGAACCGGAGCAGGACAGAAAGCAGAACCCAGAACATGTACACAATACATGAGGGAAACATGAACAGGACATGTGCAGGGCAGGACAGGACAGGACAGGACATGAACTGGAAATACAAGACAAATAAAATGAGACAAGAGATATAAGGCAAAAGAGGAGACATAACTAAGTACTATATAGTACTTGCCTGCAAAGAAAGGAGCAGAGGAAATGAGACCACTGTTTGCAGGAACAGACTGAAACAAAAAGGATTAATGGCAAAGGAATGGGTGTGGCAACATAAAACAAACATTTAAAGAAATTCAGGAAACTGGGAATTCCAGGAACGGAATAAAGGAATGAACCCAGAAAACCCAGCATACAGACAAAGAATAGAAAACCAGAAAAACCAAACAAGAATTGTAAAAAGAATACTGGATACTAGAAGCCATGACCAGACATCTGTGCAGAGCGGAACAGGACGTTACATATGCAGAGCATTGGATTAGTTCATCACTCGATGGTGTTGCAGCAGGCAGAGTGATGAGCAGTGCTAAGGTTGAATAAAACATATATTTTCTTAAATTTAGTGGAACAGATATATATGGCTTGGGACAGGGGCACCATCGATTTAGGAACACATGTTTCTTTCCTAATGTTAAAGTGTTCCTTTACAGTTTAAACTAACAAAATATATATTTGTATATTCTAGGGAATGAGCTTATTATAGTTCAGTAACAATACATAAATTCTTATATATTGTCATGTTAATCATTTATTCCTAGTTCATTTTTTTTGTTGTTATTTTGATTTATCAATAGCTCCATCCTGGTGTGAGTATCGGCCAAGCAACTACAGTGGAGATCTTCCTGACCTTGCAGTTTGTACTTTGTATCTTTGCCACTTATGATGAGAGGAGGAATGGACGCCTGGGTTCTGTGGCTCTGGCAATTGGATTCTCCCTCACTCTTGGTCACCTCTTTGGGGTAAGTATAGATTATGCATGTAATTTGTATGCTAATAGTAAGGCAAAGAAACTGACACCTGCCAAGTATGTATAAGAAAATGAAAAACAAAATATCAGGGATGGGCAAATTCCTGTAACCGAATACCTGGAGCACGTGGTATCAGGTGCCAGTTAGGCAGTAGTTTTTTTTCCCTTTAGCTGCTACAGAGGCCCCTGTGGCATTGGGCCTGGGCAGGAAGCATGTGGTCAGCACCTCTTGTATGTGCGGATCACAGTAATTGTGTGCAGATCCAGTGCTCAGAATCAGAATGCAGCCACCAGTATTCCCACCATGCGTATTGACTCACTGAGTTGCAGAGCTGTTATGGAGCAATTACTGTGCTCTGCACCCTCTGGAGGTGCTTACCACGTGCTAAACCTCATGATAAACCATATGCTTTAACCTCAATGGAAATCATAGCATCCCCCTTGCAGAAAACTAAGCAGAAGTAAGGCAAAAAGAGCAAACACACACAAACATTTACCACTCCCACAAGCATTACACACACCCAGCACACATATTGTGCACAGCATACATAATACACAGCCAACACACACCTAACCCACAACAAGCATGGATCTAGGTAGGTGCCCCAATCTAAAATAATTTTGAGAGTCAGGATAAGTAGATCATCATGAAGGACAAGTAGATTGTTGTTAATTTCCACACTCCAGGATAAAAGTAACAAAAACACTTTGCTGAAAACATTCTCAATTAATTTAATTGGGGGGAGGGAAAATACTTTACCGATAAGTGATTTATATGTAAAGGTACGAAGATATTATATATAAAAGAAACCCTTATATCAGAGCAGTTTTGATTTGTCCTAATCAAATTATCAGTGCACTACCAAACTAATACATTATTAATAATTGTTATTGCTGTCCACAATGGTAACACCCAATAAAGGATACCCATCCATATGGCATCTGGTGTGTAACCAATATGAATGAAGGTTTTTTTTTTTATGATCCTACATGTGCTGACTAAGTTGCCAGCCCATGACGAGTATGCATGATATCCCTGGTGTTGTTGGCAAGTGCTTGCAGAAATGAGACCGTGCTTATGAGTCTCATAATACACACTGGTTGTTAATGATAGGTATTGAAACAGAAAAAAGGAACCACACTCAAATCCACTTAAAAACGGGTGCGCCAAACCAGGACTAGCAAATCAAAAACACGTATAATAAAACAGGAAGAAATCTTCATGCACTCCCAGAATTAAAGCCACAGGAAAATTTATTGGATCAAAAAGGCAAAGCAAAGTTTCAACCTACTAATAAAGAACTCTCAGTAGGTCGAAACGTTGCTTTGCCTTTTTGATCCAATAAATTTGCCTGTGGCTTTAACACCGTGAGTGCCTGAAGATTTGCTCCTGTGTTATTAATAGCTATGTCTCACCAGCATGCAATATTCCATGTGAATACTCCATTATGCACTGTAAGTCATACTGATAGAGGTTGTAGAGATATCTGATGTCAAAAACTACACCTTCAGCAGTCACCATCTATTAAACCCATATATTGCATGCTTTAAATGACCAGGGCCATCCCCGTTGAAAAGTAAGTTTTGTACCTAAATTAATTGATACCTAACCTACTTGCAACCTGGCTGAAAGTTGTCAGCCCTGTCCTGAGTTCAGTTATTTATTTGTACTGATTAAAGTAGTACTGTCATCACATTTGGTATTTGCACCATAATACAGCACTTAACTACCTGTTCTTTCCATTGATCGTTTTTTAATCTGTCCATATTTTTTTTTTATATATAACAAAGAAACAGATCTTTAGCTAATATTTACCTTTTCATTGGACACACGGTTACCGACGTCATTGGTTTATTCAAAGAACATTTTGTTCTTGCCAGCTCAGTAAGAAGCTGGGAGATACTAAGCATATAAATTATAACTGGCTTTTTAAAATGAGTAACCGTTTCTGGGGCATAAAAGCTGTGAGGTAATTGAAACATAACATGAAATATTGTCATATATTCCAGTTGTAACAGTAACAAACACACTATAGTGAGGCTAGATAGAAATTATTTTATTATAAGTTTTGACAGTGTTTAAAGGGGCAATGCGAGCACAATATACTCTACATCTCATTAAAGTGGTTATTATGCAAACAGTCTGTGGATGGCATTTCCTTGGCTCTCAACCTAGAACTGTTGTCCAGGGCAAGGCTGTTGGTGCGCAGAGACCACAGTTTTTCTCAAATCACTTAGAAACTGTTTGCAAGAAACCCATGGGAGTCAGCTAACAGAGACTCTATGTAGTTTGTTTGCACCATAACCACTACTATGAGCTGTATTGGTTATGGTGTTTCAGTGCTTCTTTAACTTTAATCAAAGGCTAGCTAATAATCAATTAATTGATCATGATATACAATGCTAATAGTAGTATATTTTAACACTATTGTCAAAGCAAACAAATCATTTTATGGTCTTCTGTATAATACATCCATATTATGTGCCTTGACTGGATAACTTTGCTTTGTTTTTTTGTTTATCTAGATGTACTACACTGGAGCCAGCATGAACCCTGCTCGATCATTTGCTCCAGCAGTACTAACAAGGAATTTCACCAACCATTGGGTAAGGTTATAGTCGAATGCAGTTGGACATTAGCATAGCTAAGACATAATAACATTTTATTTTATATTATTTGCATGGCATCATATATTTCATAAAAATCTACTTTATTCAGGTAGACTGGCAGAAATATTTTATTTATTTATTTATAAAATATTTTACCAGGAAGGATACATTGAGAATTCTCTTGTTTTCAAGTATGTCCTGGATATATATAACAACATCAGGTGAAAATTAAGGATATAAAACGTGTATTAATTAAATTTACACTTTCCATCATGATTTTCAAAGTCTCTATCCTATACTTGTCAGAAAGGTAAAACAAGCACTAAATTAAAAAAAAATCCAAAAAAAAAATCCAAGTGCTAAATCATTGATAACATATGTATCATAGGTAGAACATGTACTCACATTTTTACAAAGTTAAAGCTATTACCTAATTGACAGGTGTTTTTTTTTTATTTTCTCAAAGTAATGTGGTAGAAATAATTAAAGTTACTTAATACCTCATATATGCTAACCGTATTTACATTTTTTTTTTAATTTCTTGGCTTGCAGGTCTACTGGGTTGGTCCAATCATCGGTGGAGCGCTTGGGGGTCTGGTGTATGACTTTATTCTTTTTCCCAGAATGAGAGGCCTGTCTGAGAGACTTTCAATCCTGAAAGGGGCCCGGCCCGCAGAGCCTGAGGGACAGCAAGAAGCAACAGGAGAACCTATAGAGCTGAAAACACAATCTCTATAAACACCTAGTAGCAAACACACACACACACAATTTTGGCCTAGTTAGCGTTATATCCGTCATGGGAAGTGTGTTGGGGAGGGGTTGGTTGGGTTATACTTTGAAAGACGTTCCTTTTCTTACCATGCTGTTGGTATTGTGTTAAAGTAGAGGCAGAAGGAACAGTAAATGTGCTTGACCTTTCATCGGAGTGGAGGTGGAGGCAAAAGGATGCAAGAAGGTTTGACTGGGCCACACACCCTATGGGCCAAATATACATTTATATATATTTCACGGGAAGATCTTTACTGATTCTAGCAATAAAGGGATTCATCTTCCCTGACAGGAAAATGTAACCTTTACATGGGCACAAGAATACAATGCAGTTGCTAAGTGCATTTTTCTTTTGCCAGCAAATATCATCAAATTATTGAAAAAGAAAGCCACAGTATGTTGCCTATCAAACTTTCAGCCCACCCTCCTATCTGCTCCTCTGATGCTGCTGTACATCTCAAACACAATATTTTCTTTTTACTGCGTTTCATTTTTTGCTGGTTTAAGAAAATGTTTTCCCTTTTTTGTGTTTTTTTAAGAAGGGTGGAAGAAATAAATGGGCCAAAAACCCTGCCCTGAGCCCCACTGAGTAAATCTGTAGACATCTTGTAGAAGTTAAGGTGTTACCCCCATTAACTTATCTCTACTGCTTTAGAAATCCCTCTGTGTGGCATTGTTTGCCTTGTAATATAAGATAAATATATGATTTCACGACATGTAGTGCTGCTCACCACCCTTTAGTTTTTTATCTTAATGTCAGGGACAAATAAGCTTGATTAGTTAAGGAAATGTAAGAAAGGCATCATATTTCCTAAAGATGGTTGTAAAGATATTGCTTGTCTTAAGACTTGGTGTTAGTGCATAGTACTCCAAAGAATTGAATGCCCAATGTTCTTGTCCACAGTCTCAGTTCCCAAGGGTTCCTCAAAACAGCTACCCTATGCTTAGAAGTAATTTCGCTATGCCGAGTTACGGAGGACTAAATGTTTTCAGCAAGGATAAATGAGCTACAGTGCATATATATATATTTGGTAAGGATATGTGAACATTTCTAAACTATTTAATTATGAATAATAGTAAAACCAAACAATGTGAACATTTTGGTTCTCTGTAACCAAGAGCATGTCTCAAACGTGAATATCCTGGAGGGACTGACTAAGCACTACTTTTGGACATCATAACCCCCGGACAGGGATACATATCTTAATATACCGAGCATAAAGGAAATATCTGGAACTTTATAACAAAATTATAATTTAGGTCAATAGCATGCAGAAGCAGTTTAAGTTGGGAAATTCGATAATAGTGCTTAATAAAATCCTCCCTTTTGAAAGAAAGATACATGTGTATATTGAGCCGCTGTGTTTGTTCAGTGCTCAATTAATGAATATTGCAATAATCAATAACACACTTATTAAAATTATTGACTTCACACTTTAGAGGTATTCCTCATCCTAACGTTATTGCTTTTGACTACTGCAATACTCATATCTATGTAGCTATATACACACACACACATACATACTTGTACAGATAGCTGTATCTGTAGACAGCACCAGAATAACATTTCAATCTGAATGCACGCAATGTATTACCAACACTCAGGTATATAATTTACATCTGATATAAGTATGTGAGTGTGTGTAGATATTTATATTTGTAAAGAGTTTCAAGTTTCTTAAAATCTAAAACATAGGGGGAGGAATCAGACATATGCCTAGGAAAGCGCAAGGCATTAATTCACTTTAAAAGGTGAAAACATGTTTACAGTAATTTGCGGGTTGTCTGGTATTATATTGATTAAAAATTATCATTAAATTGATTTTTGGTTCCATCAAGTGGATATTCACTGCTACTTTACCACTGTGATTGTAAAATATGTAAAGGTTCAGATAACATTCAGAAATGAATAGACTGGAGAGGATGAAGAGGGTCTAAACTTGGCTGTTAATTAGTTTACTTATAGATCCTAGTCACAAGATCAAATGGTGCAGTCATTACCCCCATAATTACATTTCTACTTTCTGCCTTTTCATACACAGTTGGCTTGGTGGCACAAATAAAACATTTTATTGCTTGTGTTTTGAAAAATCAAATCAGATCTGTCGTGGAAACAGAAGGGAATTTCCAATTTCTGTTCTACAAAATGTCAATAACAGAATTTTTGTTACAAAGCTCAATATCTATGTGATGTGTGATTTCAGGTTAGATTGATCAAATTGAGTTATTTTTTTCTCACATGGAATAATCAGTTTATTTCAGCCACACAGTCCAAACTTAATGTTTTAAGAATGGAGCCAAAAGTAAATAATAAAAAAAAACTAACAAAAAAAAAACCAGCATGGCATTAATTAACATACTATAACATAAGTTAAAATAACAATATTTGGAAAATCAAGACTTTAAACATTGAGTTCAGGTTGCTTAAAAGAATATATGTTGAAGCAAGGTTTTATATACCATAATACCGTTATACCATAGCATTTCATGTTTATAGTGGTGTTATTCATTTAGTTGTACAAGCCCACTATTTTAGAGATTGAATGACTGAAAGACATATGTTTACCTTATTCTGTACAAAATACAGACTTTGAGGCATCTATGGGAATGCAAGCAAAATCTATGTAAATGGACTGTGTAGCAAATATCTTCTAGAACTGTAAAGAATTATTTTCTTGGAGTTCTTGAGTCAACTGAATACTGCAAAATGAATTATCCCTCTACCCTTCCAGGGAAGTTCATCAGATAATGATGTGCTGAAGAAAACATTGGTGTTTTTTATACAGAGACAACAGATAAATGCCAAAACCTAGAGACTAAAGCAGGAGTGCCCAAAAGGTAGATACCCAGATGTTGTAGGATTATAACTCCTATGATGTTTTGCGTCATTTTAGAACGACAAAGCATCATGGAAGCTATAGTTTTAAAACATCTGGGGATCACCCCTACTCTAGAGCTATTGAGACTTATAGCAAAATTCACAGCATGTCTGTTTGGTCTTATAGCCCAAAGGAGCACATTGTAGTGCATTCTCAATTGCATTATAGGTGTATTTTTCAATGCTTTGCCGTGGAAGGATTTAATATATTTCTGGATTTGTACATTGTAGTTTGCTCTGTATTTCTTTATTCAGGTTCTCTTTGGTTTCAGCCTACACAGCCATTGCATATTTTAGTAGTACATTGAAAAATAAAACACATGCATATTTGTGAAAACATAGGGTTAAATTTCAACAACACAAGTAAACACGCATGCAGCTACAACACCAATAGTTATCTATGTATTCTAATAAGAAACTAGAATTATTTTGTTTCAAGATAAATGCAATACTTACATAAACATTTAAATATGTACATAATTCTAATTAATTTATTCATTCTTTCTTTCACAGTCACATCGGTCATTTTTCTTAAAAGATGTACATTAATTAAATAAAGTACTGCTTATCATTAAAATCACAGTATCATGAAAATGTACAAAACAGTAGTGGAAATTATGTATAGAAGAGATGCCCAAAACATTTGAAGCTAAACAATAAAAGCTCTAATGATAAAAAAAAAAAAAAAAAGAATTGAGTAATATCAGACCGATACAATATTCATCTGTGTGGCAATGGATCGTAGAAATATCATCATCATCCTTGCTTCTTGTAGTGTCTATTCAATTAACAGAGAACTGAACAGAAAACACATTTGGAAATTGTAACCAAAATACATAGACTTCAACAATTTTCAAATTCACCTTTACAATTTGATTGGCTATTTTAGTCTATATGTAGTAAATCTGATGTTCAGTTTACCCTAAACGTTTAATTAATAGCCCTTGTGCATATATTTTATATAATCACATCTGTATATGAGCAAGTAAATATACCTCAATAGAGACACATACTTAAATATATATTTATATTTTATCTGGAACTCTGGTTATTAGCCTAACACAGGACAGAGGAATGGAACCTCCTTGAATAAAAAATTTGAATAATTACCAGCTGACTAAACAGTGAGTTTATGATCCTTTCACTGTTCTACTAAGAAATTACTACCATCTTACAAGGTTAATTCTTTAGAATGCCAACAAATAATAGCACACAGACAAGTGTATATAAAATATTGGTTGTTAAATTAGGCTACTGTTCCAATTTTGTCATAAGAAAAAACATATAAACATAATATTAATCCACGTGCCCTTTACACAACATTATAATACATTTAGATTTTCATTATTTTTTACAATCTTTGTTCATTAGTTATACTTATGTTTGGCTTAGCTGTTCCCACTGTCCACCATGTTTTGACTGGACTGCTTACACAGCTGTCTCCACTCACATAGCCAGATAAAAAAAAGAAAGTATGTGTCATACCTACGGCTGCCATGCGGCAGGTTTGTGAAGTAGCCGTGTGGCATCCTCAAAATCCTGACACCCTCCGGTATTCTCGGATCCAGGAGAACCCTGCAAGCTCTTCTCCTGCACAGGATGCTTGTGTTCTCTGGATAGATGTACAGCACACACCAGAGAGGCCACGGTGGTTGCTAGGTAATCATGGCAACCCTGCACATCTTGCAGTCATCCTTAAAAGTTACAGGACACTGTAAATACTTACCATTTTATAATAAAGGTTTATTATGTCATAATGAATGAACACCTCCTGCTGCTCTTTACCAGAAACATCTATCCTGTGCAATTTTGACCTCACTTTTCATTTGGTATCCCTGACCTGAAAGCCTTGACGTTGACTAGTTTTGTTGACTTTGCTATCTCATGGTGTTTTATTAACTTTTTTTAGTGCTGACACTTGTGTGCAATCGCCTGCTCCAGCTCCCTTGACGTCTTCTCGCCCAAGCCGATGCTTCTCAGAGAGAAGCATTGGGTATGTGTAGCACATGCATGGCAAGCACTGTGCTTATCCAAACACATGCTTCTCTTAATAAAGCATTGAATCCATGTTAAATATCACGTCTGACTCAGGAAGACAGCAACTACAAGTGTGTTTAGCCCTGCATTGCAAACATGGCAATGTTTTAGAAAATGGCAATGTTTTATATTGCAGGACTAAATAAGACAGATCTATTGCACTCAGGCCACTTTATTGAGATGAAGTGGTCTGGATGCCTATAGTGGTTCTTTAAAGATTGTTTCGGCCAGCCCCTATATTTTGTGTCGTAGCACTTACAAAAGGTCCTGTTTCTATTCCAGTTTTAGATTCTGGTGGTAACAGACCCCTTTTTCCCTTCCTATATAAAGATAAAATAACAGATAGATTCAGAGAATCTGCAACCCGTATTGTGTTCCTTCAATGTGCTGTTTACATATGCCCAGTTCTCTTTCATATTTAATTAGGTAAAACCCCTGGAACATTTTTGATGGTCAGAAGGCTTTGGAGATCATAGATTACCTTACATTGTGAAACCAACCAATCAAAAGATATTACTGTATTATAGTAACATATCATAACCATATTAATATAGAAAATATCAATATGATGACAATACGGTTCAGGGATTGCAAATAGCAATCTTATAATCAACACCTAAACCCCCCCCCCCAAAAACAATACTTTTTGTGGATGCAATGAATCCTCCATAAAGTGGAGTTTAACAATGTTAGTATGGCATGACACGTCGTAACATCATTGCCCCCCTTCTCTTCCCAAGTGACTACTTACCAGCTGGGATCGGCTGTGGGGAGATGCCTGTAAATACTGGCAAACATAGGCAGTCCCCATGATCCAATCAACACAGTCCAAGTCATGTGCTTGCATTAGTAGCCAGATGAAGATTCAAGGTGACAGACAATGAATTGAAACATTGTCTGTGATCACTGCCACTGCCTGTGATCACATTCTGATTTGAGATGAGAAAGGAAGAAAGATTAAAGGACCACTATAGTGCCAGGAAAACATACTCGTTTTCCTGGCACTATAGTGCCCTGAGGGTGCCCCCACCCTCAGGGTCCCCCTCCAGCCGGGCTGGAAGGAGAGGAAGGGGTTAAACTTACCTCTTTCTCCAGCGCCGGGCGGGGAGCTCTCCTCCTCCTCTCTGGCTGAATGCGCATGCGCGGCAAGAGCCGCATGAGCATTCAGCCAGTCTCATAGGAAAGCATTTACAATGCTTTCCTATGGACGCGGCGTCTTCTCACTGTGAAAATCACAGTGAGAAACACGCAAGCGTCTCTAGTAGTGATGTCGCGAACACAAAATTTTCGGTTCGTGAACGGCGAACGCAAACTTCCGCAAATGTTCGCAAACCGGCGAACCGCGCGAACCGCCATTGACTTCAATGGGCAGGCGAATTTTAAAACACACAGGGACTCTTTCTGGCCACAATAGTGATGGAAAAGTTGTTTCAAGGGGACTAACACCTGGACTGTGGCATGCCGGAGGAGGATCCATGGCAAAACTCCCATGGAAAATTACACAGTTGATGCAGAGTCTGGTTTTAATCCATAAAGGGCAGAAATCACCTAACATTCCTAAATCACAATGAATATGGATTGACACCTGACATATGACATATTGACACCTTGACATATGGATTGACACCTGTCCTCAGAGCCCCTGATGCACACGGACACAGAGCAGAATAGAGACTGTTCCCCCTACATAGGGTCACTTGGCAGATATGGATTGACACCTGTCCTAAGGATCCCTGATACACACACTGACACAGAGCAGAATAGGGACTGTTCCCCCTACATAGGGTCACTTGGCAGATATGGATTGACACCTGTCCTCAGAGACCTGATACACACTGACACAGAGCAGAATAGAGACTGTTCCCCCTACATAGGGTCACTTGGCAGATATGGATTGACACCTGTCCTCAGAGACCATGATACACACTGACACAGAGCAGAATAGAGACTGTTCCCCTACATAGGGTCACTTGGCAGATATGGATTGACACCTGTCCTCAGAGACCATGATACACACTGACACAGAGCAGAATAGAGACTGTTCCTACATAGGGTCACTTGGCAGATATGGATTGACACCTGTCCTCAGAGACCATGATACACACTGACACAGAGCAGAATAGAGACTGTTCCCCCTAGGGTCACTTGGCAGATATGGATTGACACCTGTCCTCAGAGCCCCTGATACACACTGACACAGAGCAGAATAGAGACTGTTCCTCCTACATAGGGTCACTTGGCAGATATGGATTGACACCGTCCTAAGGATCCCTGATACACACTGACACAGAGCAGAATAGAGACTGTTCCTCCTACATAGGGTCACTTGGCAGATATGGATTGACACCTGTCCTAAGGTTCCCTGATACACACTGACAGAGCAGAATAGGGACTGTTCCCCCTACATCGGGTCACTTGGCAGATATGGATTGACACCTTGTTACAAACTATTTGTAACTGGCCCTTTAAATGGCAAATTGCCCTGCTTCCCTGGGTTGTGGATAAGCCTATTTGCCAGCCTCCTCCTGCATGACTATGGCCCCTGGGAGATTGTGAAAATGTATGCACTTTTATTTGGTGTGTATGGCCCTTTAAGACTGTCGGTGGGCATATTGGGGCTTATGGACTCTTTATGTGACTGGTGCTGGCCCTTTAAACACCTTTTTGGGACATCAGGAAGATTGGGACACTGCCCCTTTAAGGCCGTGTCCCCAGACTTGTTGGGGACACTGCCCCTTTAAGACGGTGTCCCCTGTGTCCCCAGACCTGGTGCAAACCCTTTGTGCCTGCCTGGCTATTTCCCACTTGGTTCAGTAAATGGGGCTTACTGAACCAAGTACCACACAGGCAGACCACCCAGAAGTGGAAGTGTGCAGGCAATTTACCTCCCAGAAGCTGCGGTTAACCGCAGCTTAATTGACAATGCTGGGAGGTCTTTGTTCGTTTGCTGAACACGTGGCGGCGGCCATCTTTGATCATTCGACGAGGTCAGCGGTATGTGTAGCCAAATTCATGGAACTAAAATCGGCTACACATTTCCGCGAACACCGCTGAGCTCTACCTTTTCCCCTACTGGTTTTACAGCTGCAGAGACTAAGTCCCATTCGGCAATGGGACTTAGTCGTTTTTTCAGCCGTTTTTTTCAGCCTTATTTCAGCTGTAGAGACTAAGTCCCAATCCGCGATAGGACTTAGTCGTTTTTTCAGCCTGAAATAGACCGACCGCACAGCACAAATCTATGGAACTGTTTTGGGTAGGAAAATGTGCTTGCGGTCGGTCATAAAGGGACCTCCAGCTAACTTTTTAAATTCTTTATTTTTGTAGTGCAAGTTTAAAACAGCAAGCCCATGTTGCCACAACAGCAATCACAGGCATAACATCAACATACAGTATCTGACATGGCAAGTGAGAGAACTGCACAGTTTTATAAATTGAAGCAGAAAAGGTCCGCACATTCTTTGTTTTGTTAAAGTAACTGAATAACATATGAGCTTGATCTAGGTATGCTTGAATACAGTACTAACATGGTAACGTTAGAAGTAAACAGGTGTTGGTCGCTAAACCGAACATAAACTTCGCCTAATCTGGGCAAGTAAGGAGTTAGGGTGTAGTGTCGCCCTGCTAGCCAGTGTGATCTCCTAAGGCTATGTGCCTCAGCTCGCTGAGGTCAAGGACACAGCGACATGAGTGGTAGGGCTGTGAGTGATAGGGTTAATCTGTGTAAGTGTAGCGAGCTCTTGGAAGCATGCTTCCCATACCCCTAGCGTAGCTATAGTTATTGTTAAGTGGCTAGACTGCGTGGGCTAGTGTGGATAGTAGGTATGCAATTGGGTTGAATGTGGTGGAGGACCCTGGGTGTTGTTCCAACTGATAGTCCCCGTGATCCGTAGCCGGAGCGAGAGTTCACACCTTTGTGTAGGTGAAAAAAGAAGAAAAACGTCCCAGTGAGCAGTCCCTGGCTCAGAGTCTCTGTTCAAGTGGTGGCTGCCGCATAGGGTTCCGCTGGTCTTTGCTTTGGCACAAATTCCGGTGCTCTAGCCGAGTGTGTCCCGAGGCTGCAGCTTGTGAGGCCTCTCTGCGCTGAAGCAGCTTCTAGAGTTGACAGTGGGAGGTTTAGCTTCTCTAATGCCTCTGCGGCCTCTTGTAGGTTCCGTGTCAGCACAGGGCCACTTGCGCTCTCTATGCTCAGGGTTCGGCCGGGTCCCCAGCGGTATCGGATCTTTTGCTGCCGTAGGAGAGAGGTGACCTGCCGGAGGGACCTTCTCCAGGACAGTGTGCCACTCGATAAATCCGCATAGAAAGAGAGGGACATTTCTTCAAAGGTGTATGTTGGCCTGCCCTTGATGGCCTCGAGTACTGCCCTTTTGTCTCTTGCTGTTTGAAAGCGGAGGATTATATCACCGGTAGCCGTTGGTGGGGCTGTAATCGGCTTTGGGATGCGAAAAATCTCATCCAGCAGGATCGTTCTTGCCACCTTTGGAGTCAGGAGCGCAGTTAGCAGTCGCCTGGTAAGGTGAGGGAGCTCTGCTTCAGGAATGGAGTCCGCGACCCCCCTTAGCTTCAGGTTATTTTGGCGTCTCCTATCTTCTTGGGTGGCCAATTGTTGTGTATGGAGTGTCGCTTGTTTTGTCAGGTCGCTTACCGCTGCTTGCAGTACCGCAATCTGGCTTGTGTGGTCTCTGGAGG